ATGACCAGAGAGGCATACGTTGTGTGTAGCGGCCAGAGGTGATACAGCTGTGACGCTTGGTGGGACCGAGTGAAGTCAGGGTTCCAGATGGAATTCTGATGTCTAGTTCAGGTACAGTCACAGTGGGTTGGTCTCATGATGCCTGGTGAAGCCCCTCGTGTCGGCAGACACTGCAAACTTGGGACTTGAATGAGGGTTTGGAAGGGCAGTTATTGCTTTTGAAACCGAAGAATTTACCAAGTAAATGTTACTTTATATGGGCCTCTAGGTGTCCAACTAGCTGGCTGTCCATTGGGAACACTCCAAATCATGCCCTTCTTTGGACCTTCAACGTTGAAGTCTTTGGATGGACGGGACGTAATCAGATTTGTATTTTGGAAAGACGGCATTAGTGGCAGTTTGAGTAACAAGTCTGGGGCCAGCACAGAAGCTGGGGATCTACTACTGAAATAACCCAGGTAATGGGTCCTGTGAGCCTGAACTGGAAGAGAGGGAGTGGGAATAAAGGACTGGGGACAGATCTGAAAGATATTCAGGAGATAGTATGAGTAGGTCAGTATGACCCGTGAAAAAGATTTTATTTCTGCTTCAAAAAAGACAGTCTCGGGGCGCCTGGGTGGCGCAGTCGGTTAAGCGTCCGACTTCAGCCAGGTCACGATCTCGCGGTCCGTGAGTTCGAGCCCCGCGTCGGGCTCTGGGCTGATGGCTCAGAGCCTGGAGCCTGTTTCCGATTCTGTGTCTCCCTCTCTCTCTGCCCCTCCCCCGTTCATGCTCTGTCTCTCTCTGTCCCAAAAATAAATAAACGTTGAAAAAAAAAATTAAAAAAAAAAGACAGTCTCTGGTTTGGGCTTTTACCTGTAAGTGGCTATTCCTAAGTTATAAGGAAACATAATTCCTAACATTGTTGTTTTTTTTTTTTTTAAAAGGTTTTCATTATGAATAAGTCCTGGGCTTTATAAAATGCTTTTTCAATACATACTAAAACCATCATATGGTGTCTTACTCAGGCTACTAAAGTATTATATTCATAGAGTTCCTTCGGTTGAATTGTTAAATTTCTGGGCTAAGTTTTACTTGGTTATGATACTTCATTCTTCTAAGGAAGTATTGATTTTTTCTTGTAACAAGGGCAAATATTTTATTATCTTAACAGCTGCTACCATACTTTTTCTTACATAGGATCTTACTCTAGAAAAGTCCTTTGAAAAAGCCTTTTGAGGTGACTCTGATAACAATGTGGTCAGCAAGGGGCCACAAGATCAGTCAATAAATATGATTGAGCATCTACTGTGGTCTGGCCCTGTTCTAAGTCTCTAGGGGATTGAGTCGTGAGCAAGACAGATGAAACCCCCTGATTCTGTAGAGCTTACATTCCAATTAGAGATAAAGAAACTAAACAGGTAACAAATAACTAAGGTAATCATTAAAGTTCGTGAAGAAAGGAAAGGGTGTTGATTTTGATAATATGGCCACAGAAATCCTCTCCAGGGAAGTAACATGAGGGAAAGGCAAAAGAGGAGATGGCTCAATTACTCTGTTTGAGACAATGGGATAAATCCATTTTTGGCATCAGAGAAAGAGAGGGTAGAGGGGAAAGACACAGGAGGGGGAAAGGATGGGGAGAAAATACTCAGCAAGTTCATAAAGAATCACGTGAGGTAGTGCAGCCACAGAATTTCTTCCAATTTCCAGTTAATTTTGACAGCCAACTAAGTGTAATATCTCGTTGTAATGAATATAGATAAATGCCAAAGAAGAGAGTGGCACAAAGACAGAGTGAGTCTGAGTCTTGAGACTTTTTTGGTAGTTTTTTTTAAAGAGCACCTTGGGTTTTTAATGACTTAAAATTGATGTAAAAATAAGAGTCTCTTGAAAATCTAACAGAAAATCAATTGAATAAAATAATTATAATACTTTCAATCCTATCTGAATTTGCAGGCAAAACAATTATGGAGAATCTGAATCACTCGAGACCAATTTTTTTTTTTTTCGCCAGATATTTTAACGTTGGAGTGTATCATTGAAATAATAAGAATAGTAATCCTACTATTTAAAGTAAATAGGCTTTATCTTACTATGATTAATCTTGTTTAAAATATTTTGTAGAACGAATTTTAATACTATTCCCCCAAAACTGCTTTATTAATTGAGGATGAGAAAAGATTCATAAGATCAGTATGTCAATTTACATTTTTGATTTTATTTAGTACATATCATAGGATATGATGGTCACAGAGATTAGGTGGTAACTGCCTTGAAGAGTATGGTTAAATGGACTCATGATTGGTGTTAAGATTGCTGTTCTCTAGGTTTCTCTAGTTATGACTTAGAAGTGCCCGGCTGCCTCCATATACAGCACAGTTAATGGGTGGTCATGTCAAGCCTACATCAGTTAGGATGCTGAAATGTGCACAGACATGACTGAGGAAGCTGGATCCAGGGTACTGAAGGAGGTTTCGTAACATTGCTCATGTCTCTCCCTCCCTCTGAATGCCATTCCTTCCTTACCTTATATGCTGTGCTTCTCTTCTAAGTGTCAGTGTAATCTCCCCTGACCCCACATTTGTGCCTCGCACACGTATTGTCTCAATCCAGGACTCACAACTGCACTCATAGTTATTCTCAAACTATGCGTTCCTTTTCATACTTATCTTTGCTTCTCCAGCATCTCAGACTGTTCCTTCCTTGTTAATGTTTGTGGAAGGAAAGAGTGAGTGAATAATGCAGTGAATCCAACTAAATAAACAAGGGTCGGATAAATTACAAGAGTAAGCACATACCTCGGGGATGGTAGAGTAGGTGCTCAGAGTGCAAAAAATAGAAAGGGATTTTTTAAGCTGCTTTCGTGTCCTTCAAGGCAGTTCCAAGGATGACGACCACCCCTCTGAATGGCACCAGTGTGCAAAGAAACTCCACTGTCTCAAATAGTAGGACTTGTGTGTATTTTAAGCAACAGGTTTGTAGGTGAACTAGATGTGGACTCCAAGGGATCGAGAGATGATGACTAAACATCTAGGAAGTGGGAGGCATTTGGCTGTATGGATCTCAGAATGAGGTCCTGGTGTGAAGACAATTTGGAAGCCTTTTAAAAGTCTAGGTGATGTCAGCCATGGACTGAATGAGCTTAGTCAGGGAGAGAGAGCAGAAGAGAGCAGCAAGGGCCTAGGTTCTGACACACTTCAACATCTAGAAGAGAAGCCGCTAGCAAAGGTGACAGAGGATTGGCTACAAAGAGGCAAACAGGGAAAATTGTATTGCCAACACCTAGAGGATGGTGGAAAGAGGTATGTACAGTGTGAGTGAGAATCAGACAAAATAAAGATGTTTCAAAGAGGGTTCAGGTTGGATTGAGAACAATGTAGTCATGGATTCCACGTTACTACACTTTTTTAATTTTTATTTTTTTAAAGAGAGGGAGTATGCAAGCAGGGTAGAGGGGCAGGAGGAGAAAGAGAGAGAATCCTAAGCAGGTTCCACACTGAGCATAGAGCCCAACGTGAGACTCAATCCCACAACCCTGAGATCATGACCTGAACTGAAATCAAAGACTTGGACCCTCAACCAACTGAGCCACTTCATGTTACTACACTTTTAACAGGTTAAACTGTAAACGGGTTAAAATAAAATATCCTGCATTTAATGCAAATATTTGTTTCATCATTCACTTATTTCATCATGTGCTATGATTCTAAAAGAGTAAAAATTAAGTATTTCAGGAATTATAGTTCCCATCATTAATTTTATACAAGATAAAATCAGGAAAGAAAACACTCATCGAATGCTTACTACATGTGCCTTGTGTTATTTTACATGTTGTTCAATTTCATTAACAACTACGTGACTTAGGTTGATGGTTTTTATTTTGCATGGTGGCTCCAGTGGATTGAACTGGTAACGTAACCTTAAAGCTTTGTATTGATAAAAGTTCGGAAGCTACGTCTGGATTCAGCTAGAAGGGGGGCCATGATCAATTTTCAAGGTTGGCCATGGCCAAGGGAGGAGGAGGAAATGACAGATGTATCTCTAACGTATGTTTATTTATTTTCATTTTACAAACGAAACTAAAGCCCAGAATCCCATAAGGAATAGAGAAAATTGTCATACTGATCTCCAAACCTCATAGCTTAGTTTATTCTTTTATCTGCAAACATTTACAAATAAATGAGGCCTACAAATATTATTGATATACATTAATTTCACCATTATTAAAATGATAATGTAGATTATATTTATTGACAAAGACAAGGACATTCAAAATACATTGTTAGGTGAAAAAGGATATTAAAAACCATTATGTATAGTGTAGTCCTACATTGAAAAAGTGTGTGCGATGTGCCCACACATACAAACAAATATATGTATATATATATATAATTTTTTGCATGGGGCAATACATGGAAGAATATACTTTAAAATAATAACAGTGTTGGGGCGCCTGAGTGGCTCAGTCGGTTAAGTGTCCGACTTTGGCTCAGGTCACGATCTCACGGTTCATGAGTTCGAGCGAGTTCAAGCTCCACGTCGGGCTCTGGGCTGACAGCTCAGAGCCTGGAGCCCGCTTCAGATTCTGTGTCTCCCTCTGTCTGTCCCTCTGCCGCTTGCACTCTGTCTCTTGCATCGTCTCAAAAATAAACATCAAACAAAATTTTTTAAAATAATAACTGTTCATATTTGATAGTAGAATTTGGTGATCCTATTTTTACTTATTTTTTAACTTTTCTCCATGTTCATGTAGTTTTGGAATAACTTTTAAACATAAAGGAAAACATTTTAAAACAAAAGTGTCATTGACAGTCAATGGTAGCAAGGAGGGGGCAAAAAGAAATACTGTCTTTCACATATATGTAAAAATGACTACTACTATCCTTTAAATGCTAAAAGGATAGATATTATTGAAATAAAAGTACAGAAATATAATATTAAAATATAAATAACCTGAATCACCTCAAAAACCCATTAACAATGAAATCTTAAACATTGTGAATGAAACAGTAACTTACAGCGTCTGTAGGTGTCCCCAGCCCATCGTAATACATTACTCCTAGCTGGTAAGTTGCTTGATGGTCTTTTTCCTGGATTTCTTCAAACTGTTCTAATGCTTCTTCATACCATCCCTACGAGCTCCGAGGAAATATTGAATTATTTTTATTATTACCTTAAAGTCATCACAAATATTTAATTCCCACCTAAATCTAGCTAGGAGCACCAAAGATAGCAAAAGACAGCAACACACTTATGGAATTTGGAAGTAAGGCATCAACAGCAATCAGCACACTATAAAACCAATTAAATAGGCCTGAATATGACAACAGAGGGAAGTGACTAGGAAAAATCTGGGTGAGACTCTCTTTTGTTTTTATTCTTACATTCGGATATTGCCAAACATCTCTCAAAATGATAGCCTAACCCTCTGCTCAATCCATGCTGCCATATGACCTGCCACTCCTAGTCTGAGACACTGCAGAGCTGGGGCCAGGGCATCTGAGAAGATGTGCACATCAGAATATCCACCATTATTAAATATCCACTATTATTATATCATGGCTGCCAATGTTGCAGTTCTCCAGCTAGGGAGAAGACATGGAAAAACAAATGTGATTCTCTAAAATTTTTTCTCCTATACTTCCTACAGAAACCTACATGTTGGGGCACCTGGGTGGCTCAGTGGATCAAGTGTCCTCTCTTGGTTTCGGCTCAGGTCATGATCTCACAGTTTCATGGGTATGAGCCCTGCATCGGGCTCTGTGCTGGCAACGTAGAGTCTCCTTGGGATTCTCTCTCTCTCCCCACCTCTCTCTCTCTGCCCCTCCCCCTGCTCATGCTGTCTCTGTCTCTCTCAAAAATAAAAAAAATAATAATAAAAGAATTCATGTTTTAAGGCTCCTCAGCAGTTACAATCTGATAACTATGCTAAGGTGTAAGGCACTAATATGGGGCTAATGTCTTAATCCATCAGGGAAAATGTCCTATACTAAAGAATGAATCATTTGTAATCGTGGAAAGAAAGTCTGCTACTGAACTGGAAAGTTGTTACTCAGGAAGAGCAGACCAGAGAAAAACAACTTCTGGAAGACACAAAAACAACTGAATTCCTTTTTCTCATAAACTCGAATTAATCAACAATTTCATAAAATTAATAAAAACGTCACCAAAATACTAGCAAATACTAATTTTAAAGAACACATAATGAGTTAGAGACCTAGCTGTTAAGACTCATTGTCCCTTCTGGCTAGTGTTTGGCCTAGATGTGTGAGAGCTGGAAAAGTCAGAATACTCTATATGAAGGAAGAGAAGGGAGGAAATAGAAGTTTATTTTGAGAGAGAGCTTGTGCACATTTATAAGTTTATTTTGAGAGGGAGCTTGTGAGCATGAGCACTCACAGGGGGAGGGGCAGAAAGAGAGAATCCCAATCAGGCTCCATTCTGTCAGCACAGAGCCCTATGCAGGGCTTGATCCCCATGAACTGTGAGATCATGACCTGAGCCAAAATCAAGAGTTGCTCACTTAACTGACTAAGCCATCCCAGGTGCCCCTAAAAATTATATTTTTAATTTACAGTGTGAGAATGGATTTCATATCAAAATGACTCCTACAAATGACTTTCATTAGAATGACTTTTGTGAAGGAAGGTCAGATATCTCCTTAATATATTATACTTAAAGGCACAACCATAATCTAAGGAATTTAACAGAATTCCCTTCGTATAACAATGTAAGGAACTCCACAGGAAATTTTGCTCTGAGGCTCCAACAACAGCATTATATGAAATGAAAACAAACAGGAAATGATACCTCTTCAAAATACAGTTGACCTCGTAGGAAATATGCCATAGCATCCCCCCGTCTTATTCTTTCCTTCAAGAGCTGCAATGCCTTGTCCACCAAATTAGCATGGCCATAATGATCTGATTTTAAAAAGGTGAAGAATTCCATCTTTAGCCTTACGATATGAATTTTCTCTCGAACACATGAATTATAAAGAACTCATCTGGCACTTGTTTCTACTAGTTTCCTTCTTAGTTCTCATTTGTGAAACTGGCCTCCTTAGTTCAAGGAAGAAGCATGATCATGGTACCTTACACTGTGCCTTGTATAATCCTGAAATATTTATTGGTTGGTTTCCAAATTAACCCTGCTTACTACTAGGCAGGTGCTCTAGCAATGCAGTGTGCGTGCACAGTTCTTCAGGCAAAGCTACTCTGTGGATGAGTGAGATTCTTAATTTGAGCCTTCATTAGAACTACTCTAACCAGGGGTGCCTGGGTGGCGCAGTCGGTTGAGCGTCCGACTTCAGCCAGGTCACGATCTCGCGGTCCGTGAGTTCGAGCCCCGCGTCAGGCTCTGGGCTGATGGCTCGGAGCCTGGAGCCTGTTTCCGATTCTGTGTCTCCCTCTCTCTCTGCCCCTCCCCCGTTCATGCTCTGTCTCTCTCTGTCCCAAAAATAAATAAATGTTGAAAAAAAATTTTTTTAAAAAAAAGAACTACTCTAACCAAATGAGCTAGTAACCATCCCCAATTTAATATTATTAAGTGTACAGAAATCAGTGGTAGCTTTAAATGCCATTTCAAAGTAAAGTGTGGCATTGCCACTTCTTTAATAGAAGTGACATCTGGCTTCTCTTTTCCAGAAGGCTGTCCTAAAGTCCTGAGAGTAAAACCAGGTTTGGGATCTGATTATGAGACTTGTCCACTCACGATTTGCTACCACATAAGCAGTAATTCCTCAGATTCTTACAGGAAAGCTAAAAAGGACCATAAAATTAACTGCTTCCTTGACAGCAAGTAAGACTCCTATTTCTTGTCTTTTTTGCTCTGGTGTACTGAATTGCCTTTTAGTGAGAATATTATAAGAATTTGTACCAGTCTTTTCCTTCCTCCACTGGAAGAATTTTGAGTTCTTAGCACCATACTGGGAGAGAGCGGTATAAAAGGGGTTCTTGGGCAACTTTTCACTGGTCAACTTCATCCTGTTTTGACAATGTGTATTCTGCAAAAAAAGAATGAAAAACGGGATGGTAGAAATCTCTTCCTCCAGAAAAATGCAAATATGCTCCATTCTCGCTTGGCACTCATTAAAAAACAACCTGCCTGCACTTGCCTAGCGATAGAGGACCAAACGACCAGCTGGGAATGTATTCTTTCTGAGGAACCCAGGGCTGTCCATAGCTATGAGAGGCACAGTTATCCTGGATGCCTGTGTCCACAGCGTGGGGCTAACGAGCGCTGTTTGTAAGTCCTGTCCGGCTCTGAGTTCACGCGCTGCGGTGTGGGTCAGGTCACTACCACACCTGCCACCAGTAGGAATTGGGGACACCTCCCATAGATACAGTTCTCGTGCGCTGGTACTTTGCCTTCTAACTGCAGCTCATGACACTTACTCATCTCGAATTAAAGCATGTGTCCTTTTTACCTGGGAATACACTTTATTTTAGCTGTGTTGTTCAGTTTTATCTTCCCGCCTGTACTGGACTGCCATGTTTTAAGATGGATCACAGTTGGATGGAAAATCGCAGCCTTCATATAAAAGGTAGAGGCCACGTCATTTGGGATGAAGGAGTCCAGGTTGGCCTAGGCTGAGGGTAGTGAGACAGCAAACTCTGTTGTTGCTATGCTTTTTTGTTTACTCCTTGGCGTTCTGTTACAGCTGACTTTTCACCAATCAGGAACAAGCTTCCAGGAAAGGTTCCCGATTGGTGGTGAAGAGAAGAATTCAGGAGACCTTTAGTGTGATTGGAAAACTACATTTATACTATTATGTGAAACTATTTTGGAAAATAAATTGCTTCATTTATGAGAATGAAGTGCAGAAAAGGGGCATAATTCAGCATAGTAGGAAGAAAAAAATCACAGCAGTATCTTTGTTATTTTGGAAGAGGCATTGAATCATTTGAAAAGTCAACTTCCTCATCTGTGGTTTGGACTATAAGCAGTTTCAACTAGAGGAGTTCCAAGTGCCTGTTGCTAGATATATAACATTTTTTGATTATCTGATTCCAAAAATCTTATGTTGACATTAGTGAATATGAAAGTTTCCAATGAGCTTTGGGGTGAAACAATAATAGGTAGAGTAATTAGAAGAAAGCCAATCCAAATAGGATGATGTAGATAGCATTATCAATTTACAGAAAAACTGGTTATAGAAGTTTTATTTTACTGAAGTCATTAAACCTATGTGCTACTGTATCCAAAAAGGCTAAGAAAAAACTTGGCATGTTCAGGAAGGCCACTGGACGGAAATGAAGCAAATCAGAAAACAATACCTTACCTCCTTTGAACTCACGATGCTCTCTGTGGCTCCAATACTGCACAAGGTTTTTGTTGCTGTGGCTTGAAAGAAGAGTCAGAGAGGGTCTAGAAAACATAAGCAAAGACTGAACTCTTAAACACCAGCTATTGTTCTTTGTTCTGAGTGCGTTACAGGCACCAACTCCTACAAAACTTTATGACCTAGGAGCTATTATGAGGCCCATTTAACACAAGAGGACACTGAGGAGGGTAAGTAACTTGCCAAAGGTCACAGGGCTAGGAGGTGGGACAGTTGGGACACCCCAGGACCTCTGTGCCTCATCATTATACTGTTCTCCAAAAACTGGGACTAACATGATTTTTTTAAATGGCAGGACTCCTGTAAGAGGATACCCCCCCAAATTTAGTACTTTTTAGTTTTAGAAAATGTGGTATGAGAAGAGTTTCAAAAGGAAAGTATGAGTTTATTTCTGTCAAATCTTGGGATTAGATATAAAATCATTTGAAACTTGACAACTGTTTGCATGACATGCTGTGAATTTAGAAAATTCTCTAATTGGTGATCTGAAAGAAGTCCACAGTTTTAAGGGAAGGGCTGGTGTAGCGGATGCTGACGGTGCCCTTCCCAGATCCTCTTTACTGGCACCCCGTCTCTCGCAGCTGTGAGTGTTAATTGGAAATAATTCCCAGCTGTTCCTTCTTTCTTTGTCCCCCTGCCAATCATGAGTCCCCTCACTCCTGGACACTTTGCTCCTTCTTTCTTGGAGACAGACCACGGGCCTGAGCACTTGGAAGGCCAGCTCCTGTTGAGACACAGGCTGCCATGAGTCTTGAGCACTCTGGCACATCCTTGCTGGGTACGTCAAGAGCACGACTGTAAAAGCCATGACTGCTTTTTAGATGGGCCATTTCTCAGGGTTGTTTGCAGAGCGTAACCTTGAGAGCTAAGGTGAGATCTCCCCACAGACAAAAAACAGGCTTACTTTTATAAAAAGTACTGAATCCCTCCTCTCTCCTCCCTCCTCCAATGCTTAGTTCCCCTCTCTTTCAAGGCAGCCTACTGAATTACAGGCATCCATCATGGGTTCTTTGTATCACCTCTGTGGGATTAGGGGTCATGGGGAACCCACCTCAGCATCGTGCTGACACTCTGGCTCTTGCTTTTGCCAGGAGTGATAAAGTCATTTATCTCTGACCCGGGAGTCTTGTGTGTTCTGCCAACATCTATGAAACAGGCTAGCTTGTTAGTTGTAAGTAGGGTATAATCCTCAGGCCCTGCACAGTTCTTGGTACCCCTTCGCCTCAAGGTGAGATGAACTCAGAAGTGTGATATGTTCTCTCTGAGATCAGAATGAAGCTAGTTGCTATCCGAGCCCACATTCCTACTTAGCATTTCCTCCTCGCCAGATTGTAGTGCTTTCACTTCCTCCTCCTGAGAGCACCCCTCAGCCCATCACTTGAATAAAAAACCCCAGCTCAGACTATGCTTCTAGGGAACCTGACCTCATACAACAGAGGAGTATGGAGGAAGAGGTATTTTATTCCTTTCTAAAATTGTCATAATAAAGGATAACTTCCCTTCCAATGAAACGTTAGACACACTACTGTGCCTAGTATGTATGGTGTAGTATGTGAATTTTTAGATAAAATAATGTATCATTGGTAAGAGGACTAAAATTAGCCTAATGATGAATAACTGATTATTCTGGATGCTGGGTGACAGGAAGGAAAGAAAGATATGAGAGCAGAGTAGGTCTACAGAGACTGGAGAGGTAAGTTCCAGCTACTTCTGTAACAGCAGAGTCATGCCAAATAGAACTGCAGGACAGAGCTGTCTCCTGAGGACTAGATGAAGTGAAATGACTATTTCTTTAAGATCCAGGCAGGTTGGGGCTCTTCTGTGGTTATGCCTTAGCAGGGATTCGAATCAGAATGGAAATAAAAAGAAATGATAAGCTTGAAAAATCAGGGAAAAGAGACAAGTGTTTAGAACAGACTAGATTGCAGTAACTAAAAAGAGGTACTACAAGTGAGAAATCATTAAGTAGGGCTTAATTATAATGCCAAAAGACTTCTATTTAATTTTTTTAAAAATAAAAAAAGAAAAACTGAAAATTTGGAGATAAAAGAACTAGTGGATAGATGTGTTAAGAATGAAAAACAGTACAATTAACATCCACTGGCTGCCATTTAATCTTTAAAAGGTACATTACTTGCAAGGCTCCCGTATGTTCCTCCTCTTTAGACTCCTCCTTCTTCCCTGCTTCCCCCCCCACCCTACTCAAACACCCCCCCCCATTCTCCCCATAAGCTCCTTTTCCGTGTTTCTTGACCATTCGTATTTCTCTTCTGTTAAGTATCTGCCCTTGTGCTGTTTGTCTTAATGATTTGTAGTTCTTCATACCTCAGGCGTGTCTCTTATAAATAGGATACATTTAGATTTGTTGATTCTTTTTTATACCCAGGCTGATACTCTTTGATTATTACTGGTACGTTTAGTTCTTTTACAATTATTTTAATCACTATTGAGTTGGAATTACTTTGTACTTTTCAGTTCATCTGCTTTATTCATGCTTCATTTTCTCTTTTGTTGCCTTCTGTTGGATTTATTGAATTGACTAGGTATTTATTTTGCTTTGGAAATGTTGAACTTCCCGAGCCTTGGGTTGGGGTCTTTCAATACTTCTAAAAAATTCTCAGATATAATGCATTTGTGTTAGTTTCAGTTTCCTAGAGCTGCCGTAACAAATTACCACAAACTTTGTGGCTTAAAACAGCAAACATTAATTCTTTCATAGTTCTGAAGGCTGGAAGTCAAAATCGATGTGCTCTCAGGGCCATGGTCTCTCTGGTTCTAGGGAAGAAACCATCCCAGATTTCCTTCCTAGCTGCTGGTGGTTGCTGGCAATCTAACTGCTCCAACAAGGTCCAAACAGTCCATTTGGATTTTGGCAAAATCACATTCCATCCTTGGAGAATCTTGGGTTCTGTTGCACCAGGTAGCCCTTAAGATAGTACCTTTTGCTTCTGTGTTGATCATACACTCAACCCAGTGTACACATCTGGGTTGGCTTGATACTTCATTCATGTAAAAATTTGTATCTTTGCAACTCCTAAATAGCAATTCTCATCAGAGTATCCCTTCCTCTTTAAAATTTTTTTTAGGTAGGGGCGCCTGGGTGGCTTGGTCGGTTAAGCTTCTGACTTCGGCTCAGGTCATGATCTCGCGGTCTGTGAGTTTGAGCCCCGTGTCGGGCTCTGTGCTGACAGCTCAGAGCCTGGAGCCCGTTTCAGATTCTGTGTCTCCCTCTATCTGACCCTCCCCCGTTCATGCTCTGTCTCTGTCTCAAAAATAAATAAACGTTAAAAAAATTTAAAAAAAAATTTTTTTTAGGTAAAGATGTAAACCTTTGGGAATGTGATAAAATTGTCTAAAAATGGCTTGTAAATTATTTATGGAATAGCAAAAGGTAATTTAAATGTAAAACTGCTGTGAAAATGAATTTAAGTATATTAAATAGTGTCTTTTATGGGTTATTCTTGTGTTCCTGTGTAGAAAAGAGTTCGCCTAGCTGGCATGAGGCTGCCATCTTTGTTTGTTTGTTTGTTTATTCTAATTTTTTTTAGTGTCTATTTATTTTGAGAGAGAAAGATCATGCGGGCAAGAGCAGGAGAAGGGCAGAGAGAGAGATGGGGGGGGGGGGGTGGGAATCCCAAGCAGGCTCCACACTATCAGTTCAGAGCCTGATGTGGGGCTCAAACTCACAAACCACAAGATCATGACCTGAGCTGAAATTGGGAGTTGGATGCATAACTGACTGAGCTACCCTGGCACCCCGAGGCTGCCTTCTTTAGAAAGGCATCCTGACAAGGTTGGTCCTTGGTTGGCATTTGGGAACTTGACACTCGAGTTGTCCCCCAGCTGACAAGACCAGTTTGCACGGTTTCTGTTGCTTATATAAACAACGTGATGATGTATGGTGAATATGTTTTCCTTCTGGAATTCTGTAATTTTAGTATTTGGAGAGGATGCCTACATGACCAGCCTCCAATAACATTGGGTCCTGAGTCTCTAATGGGCTTATTGAGGCAGAAACATTGCACACACCATCCTGCATTATTCACTGCTGGAGAAAGGAACACATTGGTATGTTTCTTCTTGGAAGTGGGTGATCCATAGGCCTGTGCATGGATTTCTCCAGACTCCATCTGTTTTTTTTTTTTTTCTTTGATGATCCAATGTATATTCTTTTCACTGTAATAAACTTGAGCCATGAGTACAACCATGTGCTAAGTCTTAGACTATGTATCTTAGATACACAGCATCATAGACTATGTTGTAAAAATGTGAGCCTACACATTTCATGGAACTCTTGGTCAAGTTTTAAAAATCTCTGTTATTTTTTGTTCTTAATTTAATTATTTTTGCTGATGTTTCTAATGAGCCTTTTTAAAACTTAATGGTTGGCTTAATCCAGTACTAAAATAATGAATAACTATCTTTAACTAAAGAACTTCAGGTCCAACACTGAAGTTCTTGTCATAATAGATAAATAGTTACTGGTGCCCATAAATAAGTGTTCTGGGCAAAAATGCAAAGGACTGTGTTTATTGTTATTGTTCCTTTCATTACTGTTGTCTCATACTCATTAAAAAAAAAAAAACGGTAACGTTCATATATTAACTGGAAGCATAATCTGTACATATATGATGGAAACTTAGAAAAGAACATTATAATTATTACTGAAATCTCAAAAGACAATATTGAATCAGGTGGTAGTCTTCTGTTTTTTCTTTATTTTTTTCCTCTTTCTAGTTAGGTCGATTTGCTTATTTAAAATAAAAACCCAGTTAGAGCTTTTTCCATGCCCTTCCTTTTGGGTGTGGCAAATTTACATCATGCCCTGAAATGAGAGAAAAAAAAAAAAGTGTGGGAAAAGATAGGATGTCTTTCATTACCAGAGAAGCACTGAGTGGGACAGCCTGGTAGCTTTTTCATTTTTCTGCAATTTACCATGCATTCTGTGAGTATATAAGCTACTCTTGGAATGACTGATTTTTAAAAAAATTTTGGTAATTATGTGGGATTCGAATGCCTCATCTGTCCTGTTCCTGCTTTGTGAAAACCTTTTTTGGCCAGTTAGAGCTACAAGGGCCTTTCCTGAGGGGATTCACTCAACATCCAGAGGCAAATGAATATAAATATTATTTAGTGACTGTATATTTATTTTCTGGATTTATAGAAGCTTATCTATATGAAGAGTTGATGCTATTATAGATACAGATAACACTCTGGAATGATTTATTTCCAGGGGTCAGGTAATAAAATATCTGAATAAATTTTTAGTGTATAAAAATGGCTTGTCACTCTCAAAGTGTGGTCACGGTTGAGACAAGAAACAGTTATAAGGTGAAATGACAAAAATCTGTAACAACCCAAATTTAAATTGACCTGCTGTCCTAATGACTATAAGGGTCACATCAAACAAGAAAATTGGATTAATCTTTTATAAAATAATCCTGAGCAGACCCACAAGGTTTCTTGTCCCCACCCTATGACTTAGACAATGTATAGGCAACAAATAATACCATCATCTCACACCTATTTCTCAACTCCATTGGGTAAGAGATCAGATTTCATGAAATCCTAAATATCAATATTGATCTAGGTAATTTCTGTGCTTAATGGCATTTACACAAGGAACTCTCAAAGTGTACTGGTAACTTAGTTTTAAAAAAAGACTAAGCATGAAATTTATATTATCATTTTTACCTGTATAAGATAACTGGATAATAAAAAATGATTTATTAGATGATTTGGGGAATGGTGTCAAAAGTTTGAAATTCAGTTGTTTTATTTTAAAAAAATGCATATTATTGGAAGTGGGTAGAAAACAGAATATTAGATATACGCTTTGAGTGTATATTCGCTTAGAATTTATTTCAACATCATCTGCTACACTGTTATTTACTTGTTCTAATTATTTAATTAGTAAAATGAACATTTTATCTATATTTTTCTCCTCTTAGGAAAAAAAGATTAACTTGGATAGGATGTTAACAAACTGTGACAAATCTGAGTTACTGTAAAAAATGAATTTCAACTTTCTACACTAGATAAATGATATGTCAAATATATCAAGTAGCCATGGAGCTATGGCCTACAGAAAGAAATAGAATGCGTTCTGTTCAGCTACTCTCTTTATATTCCTTAAATGAAAGAAATAGGTTGTGCAATAAATGCTTGTATTGCATGCATTCATTGTGGTTGGTCAGTTGAACAAGAATCAGCGTAAAATCAATAGAGTATACGAGCATACCACATACATTTTAACTTAAAACATTTTATATTTCCAATCTTTTCATGTAGGATCAGAAGCTTTTTCTTTAAGTAGAAATTGAATGTGAGAGTTTATACAGTTACCTTTCTTTCATAAACCAGATGCATGTGAATTCCATTTGATGTTTCTTTCAAATGGAGCAGGAGTTTAAAAATGCCCATGAAACGGCCTGAGCATAGAGCCATTTCTCCTCAGCTTTTACAGCTGATTTATCCTCACCTACTTTGAAAGCATTTTTCTTGAGATTTGATGATTTCAAAAGCATTTAGTTTTCTTACAAATTATAGCTCTCACCTCTCATTTCACTGGTTATATAATATTTAATTATACATTATAATAATCCTTATAGGTGTGGAAAAAATTCAAAGTGATATGAGCCCAAGTAACTGAACATTTAAGACAACAGCCTGGTAAAACTCCTAGTGATCAATGGGCAGTGTGTTTTGCAGAGGAACCGAAGGAACTAGGTAGTGATTGGTTGTGAAAATTTTGTGAGATTTTTTTCTTTGTTTGACTAAAACTAGCTTCATAAGCTTTTAGATATCTTCTGTCATTACTGTATTTGGAAAGAGGGTTACTTAAAAGTGAAACTAACTATTTGAGTGAAAACTTCAATAGCTGTGGTCTACAGAAAGATGGTTTAAGTGGCCTCAAGTGTTCCTTTTTAAAATGAACTTCATGTTTTTAGAATAATTTGAGATTTACAGAAAGTTGCAAAGGTAGTACAGAGAACTGTCCTGCTCAATTTTCCCTATCATTTTTGTTTTTGGCCAAGTACTCTCAAAAATTTTTTTATTTGAATATAGCTGATGTTACATGAGTTTCAGGTGTACAACTTAGTGATTCAACCTCGCTATACATTTCACTGAATGAAAGAGTTGTTTTTCTATGGATTTTAATATCTATGGATATTCTCTAAGGACTTTCTTTTGCTTTAAAGAAGCCGATCTCAGTAACTTCAAATCTACCAACAATAACCAAAATTCTTTAAAATTTAGATATAAGAATGTGGGCTCTGGGGTCAAATGGCCTGAGTGAGTTCAGCTCTACCCCCTAATAATGATATGACCTTAGGTAAGGTATTGAACCTCTCCAAGCCTCCATTTCATTTCCTATAAAATGGAGAAGATAATAATACCTATCTGTATGAATCTTGGGGCACAGCAAGTCTCAATGTCAGTTTATTTTAATAAATTGGAATAGACGTTAGTGGTCATTTAATGTAATTCTTTTCCATCACTGCTGTATGTGTATCATATACTGCAAGGAGACTGAATTGCACATAGTTCTAGTAGCACTGGAAGATATTTTACACTCCTGAGAGATACTCTTTCCTTCATGGACTACCTAACAAACTCCTACTCACCTTTCAAGACTCAGTCCACATATCTTGCATTCATTCGGTCACTTCGTCATCATCCAACATTTTTTATAAACACTCACTCTAAATGGCATCCTCCTTCTGGAGACACATCTACCAGCAAAGTAAACATAAATAACATTAACACTGCTTGAAAGAGTGCCTGTTGAATATGCATCTCAGACCATCTTCCTCTTCAGAAAACTCATCCCACCTGCTACACGTTCAGAAATAACTCCAGCTGCTTGCTCATAAGATAGTATTTCTTCCCCAAATGTATTTCTTCTGTATATTTTTGTGCTCTACCAGCTTTGTTCAGTTTTTAGAAAGCTTTTAAGCTCGTTATTAACAGTGAGCCAGATACTTAGCTGAGACATCGTTTTTCTGAACCATATTGTGAGCAACGGACAAGTAGGAAGTGATTAAAGGGAGAAAAGCTTTAACAACTACTCACAAAATTTCCTTTCCTCATGAAACTTACATACATAACAAAAAGTTAACAATAATTACCAGACTTAACACGTGCTGAATAGAATCTTGTTTTAAATAAAATGGATGTAATATGGAGGCACATGCATCACACAGATATCCCACTGCATATGTTAACTGCAATATAATGTTTAGAACTCTAAGAACTCTGACAATACCTTACATCATTTAAGAATTCGTGAAAATGAATATCTGTGCAAACCTGAAGCTTAATTAAATGCTTTAAAAAAAAGTGCTCACCTAATTGATAAACATGAATGGAAAAGGGAAATTGGCAGTAAGTTCATGTGTTCTCACATATCTCTAACATTCTTCAAATATCATAAAAATATTTTGAATAATTTCAGTATAAAAAATACAGAACACAAGCACTGTTCTAGGTGTTTGAACATAAGTATATATGCACATTTATGTTCAGGTACGCATGAACAAGAACGTGTAAAACTACCCTTCTTGGGTCAGTGCCTAAGTATAATAAATTTACGACTGCAAAATTATTTTACGGCTCTAATTATGAAATAAAAAGGACTGTAACCAAAATTAGAACTACAAGGCCGCTCAAAGACTTGTCCTCTAAAAGCATAATAATAAACACAAACTCTTTATCAGCCCTACTCTCAAAGGAATCAGTAGGAAGGAAATCGCTGAGCTTGAATTTTAAGCTAGATTAATCTTGGGGGCGGGGGGGGGGGGGAAGGGTTTAGGAAAATATAGTCAAGAGATTACAGATGTGGCCGAAGGCTACAATTTGAAGTCAGGAAGTCTGTTTCCAAAGTTGCACAAAAAGGTATGACTCAAGCTGAACAGAATGAAGAGCTCCAGGAAAGCCCTTCTCCACCCCCACCCACCCCTCTCACCCTCTGAGCAGCTGGGAGGTCCTGCCTGCCCTGCCGCGGAGGAGCAGCCCCGTACATAGGTCACAAGCGTTCGTGGCCTGGGTCCCTTCGCGTCTGTCCTTGAACACTCCCCACAGTGAGTGTTAGGGCTGACACGTGTCCTCGTCCCTTAAGCCCAAGGTTAATGGCCTGGGCACTCAACCTTTTCACAGGCGACAACCTCAGGGGCGTGCTTTAACCTTTCTCCAGGAGGGGACCTATGGCCACGGTTGGCTTATTTTACAGGATTTCCCAGTATGGGCGTGGTGTCACAGAAAAGGTCCGGTTTGATAAATTATTTAATTTTGGGGGTGGTCGGGGCAGCCCTTGCTCTAAAACTAATCACGTTAGTTCACGTTAACCCTGCCGGCTCTCGCTTTCCGCCCTAAAAGTCCAGAGCGAGGGTGACAGGCGAGCGGGGGGGAGGGGGGAGGGGTCCGAATTTGAACGTGACGCCGAAGGAACTCTGATCCTTCCTCCGGAGCCAGAGGGCGGGGGACGCGGCGCCAGCACCAAGCACAGAGGCTTCCAAAGGCGGTGCTGCCGGAGTTCCCTCGTTTCCTGGTTACGTGCGTGCTAGCAGAAACGAAAACTGCCGCTTCTCCACAGGGACCAGAAGGCTGGGCACGCTAGTGTGAGACGTGTCAAGCCAAGCGCCCCCCATGGCCGCTGCCGGAGCCCAACCGCCAGGCGCCCTCTGCGGCGCACGCGCCTTGGGGCTCCGCGGGGGCCAGTGAGGGTCCCGCCCCGAGGTGGGCGTGCCTGGCGTCTCCCGGCTGGCCAATCGGCTGGCGAACCTGAGCCTTCCTCCCCCCCTCCCCCAGCTAGCCTCGCGGTTGCACGTGCCAGTGTTTGTGTACGTGCCGCGGCCGCGGGGCTGGGAAAGGCCGGGCAGCGGCGGGTGAGGCGGCTGGGGCGCGGCCGGGGTTGGGGCGCGGCTGCGAGGGGCCGTCCCACTGGCCCGGGCAATCTAAATTCTCCCGTACTTGGGCTGACTGTGCTCGCTTACCTGCCAGTCCGCAGCGCCTGCCCCGCCGCTCTGCTCTCCCAGGGCCTCTCGTCCTCTGCTTTAGGTGGAGAATGCTGTTGCTTGACTGCAACCCAGAGGTGAGACTCGGGCCCCTTTAATCCGGCAGGTTTACGCTTCCGGAAGTCCGTCTGCTCGGGAGCACTGGCGAGGGTGACTGACCGCCGAGCGCTGCGGAGTCCAGCCTCTTCAGAATTAGATTTGGGGAGTGGGGGAAGAGTTTCAACCGCGGGGGAGCACGGGACTGGACAGAGGCAACAAGGGGTGCTAGAGCTGTTTCTTCCCGCAGGTGGACAGTCTGAAGCATCTGCTGGAGGCCGGGGCCTCGGTCAACGCACCCCCGGATCCCTGCGAGCAGTCGCCTGTCCATTTGGCCGCAGGTGGCGGCCTTGCTTGCTTTCTTCTGTGGCAGCTGCAGACTGGCGCTGACCTCAACCAACAGGTAGCTAGGTTACTGATTGTTGCTGTGTGCACTCTGCCCTCCACCCAAATCCACACAAACCCTTCTTGGACGCCAGAACGTCAAGTTGTTGCTGTTACAGGTCTATAGCAGCGAAGTCCAAAGGATAGAAAGTGAGACTCTTAAGTAATTTAAAATTTTCTAGTAGCCACATTAATGAAAGAAAATGAAACATGAAATTAATTTATAATGTAACTCAGCTTACCGAAAAATGATCATTTCAGTGTGTGATCGGTATATAACATTACTTACAGATATTTTCCATTTTCTTTTCCTACATCTTTTCAGTCTGGCGTGTGTTTTACATTTATAGCACATTTCAATTCAGACTAACCACATTGCAAGTGCGCATTAACTATATATATGACTACTGGCTACTATATTGGACAGCATACATAGGGCTACAGTTTATTTCAAAAGGAACGATTGCTGCGTTGCCAAATTAAAAGTTTCAGTGTAGTAATTATTGAAGTAACAACTGTGAGGCAAACTCAACCATTACAGTTTCCTATAGAACTTTCTTACGGTAGCCTGCATCTTCCATTGAATATTAAAGTATGGTGAATTTAAATTGTACTTTTTTTTTTTTTTGCCTCTGTAAAACTCTACCTTGCTTTTGTTCACCTAAATTGGAATGTATGTAGCTGTGGCTGCACGTATTTGTATTTATTTATTTATTTTTTTGTTATTTTTAAATTTTTTAAAAACTTTACATCCAGGTTAGCATATAGAGCAACAGTGATTTCATTAGATTCCTTAACGCCCCTTACCCATTTAGCCCATCCCCCCTCCCACAACTCCTCCAGTAAACCTGTTTGTTCTCCATATTTAAGAGTCTCTTATGTTTTGTCCCCATCCCTGCTTTTATACTATTTTGGCTTCCCTTCCCTTGTGTTCATCTGTTTTGTCTCTTAAAGTCCTCATATGAGTGAAGTCCTGTATTTGTCTTTCTCTGACTAATTTCACTTAGCATAATTTCCATCCACATAGTTGCAAATGTCAAGATTTCATTCTTTCTGATTTCTGAGTAATAATCCATTGTATATATATACCACATTTTCTTTATCCATTTATCCATCGATGGACATTTGGGCTCTTTCCATACCTTGGCTCTTGTCAATAGTGCTGCTATAAACATGGGGGTGCATGTGTCCCTTCGAAACATCACACCTGTATCCCTTGGATAAATGCCTAGTAGTGCAATTGCTGGGTCGTAGGCTAGTTCTATTTTTAGTTTTTTGAGGAACCTCCACACTGTTTTCCAGAGTGGCTGCACCAGCTTGCATTCCCACCAACAATGCAAGAGATCCTTTCTCTGCATCCTCGCCAACATCTGTTGCCTGAGTTGTTGATGTTAGCCATTCTGACAGGTGTGAGGCACTCTCTCATTGTGGTTTTGATTTGTATTTCCCTGATGATGAGTGATGTTGAGCATCTTTTTCATGTCTGTTAGTCATCTGGATGTCTTCTTTGGAGAAGTGTCTATTCATGTCTTTTGTCCATTTCTTCACTGGATTATTTGTTTTTTTGGGTGTTGAGTTTGCTAAGTTCTTTATAGATTTTGGATACTAACCCTTTACCTGATATGTCGTTTGCAAATATCTTCTCCCATTCTGTCGGTTGCCTTTTAGTTTTGCTGATTGTTTCCTTTGCTGTGTGGAAGCTTTTTATTTAAAAAAAATTTTTAATGTTTTCTTCATTTATTTTTTAACAGCGAGAGAGACGGAACATGAGTAGGGGAGGGGTAGAGAGAGGGGGACACACAGAATCTGAAGCAGGCTCCAGGCTCTGAGCTGTCTGCACAGAGCCTGACGCAGGCCTTGAACTCACTGTTTGTGAGATCATGACCTGAGCCGAAGTCAGATGCATAACAGACTGAGCCACCCAGGCGCCCCCAGAAGCTTATTTTGATGAGGTCCCAGTAGTTCATTTTTGCTGCACATGTTTTTATTAATGAAAACTTTGTATTTAATGAACACCAAGTGAAATTTATTTAAAAAAACTTGAATCAAAAAAACTCAGTACCATGTAGTTCTAACTGGCTTTCTTGAACAGTAATTATATTTTACCTGCTAACTTCTACAGAGAGTGTTGTGGGGAGAGACTAAAATGTGCTGTCCTATCTTTAAGGATGTTTTTGGAGAAGCTCCACTACACAAGGCAGCAAAAGTTGGAAGTCTGGAATGCCTTAGCCTGCTTGTAGCCAGTGATGCCCAAATTGAGTAAGTATAAAATCAATGGCTTCACATTTCAGAATTTTCTTGAACTAAGCTAATCAGACTCCTGAAGCTGAATTATGTGTGCTTTGATGCTTGCCTACTTGACAATGTGGAGTTATCATTCAAATGTTGACTTAAGCTATTAACGATACCTAATATTATCACATTTAAGTAAAACATGGATTCTTAGCAATGAGAGGTGCAATTCTTTCCCTCTCCTGTGGCAATATTACATTTTAGTTTGGGTTTGGGAGAATCCCTTTTATACAAGTTCTCACTGACCTCCTTTGAGTATTACTTGTTATATTGAGCACGGAATATTCTTTCATTCACAATGGAATGTCCATTCTGTGCTGAACTCTGTGCTAGCCACTGAAGTTGCAGGAGTAAGGGGATACTGGAATTTCCCTAGGATTCCTTTACTTCTGTTCTGAAAGCAACATTTGTATGAGCCCACATCTCCTGTGTAGAAAGACATATTTAAGAAAAAAAAGGCGGAATAATTGTCAATTTTTATGTAACTCAGTTTTTGTCTTAAATTCAGTTTATGTAATAAGAATGGGCAAACAGCTGAAGATCTAGCTTGGTCATGTGGATTTCTAGAATGTGCCAAGTTTCTCACAACAGTTAAATGTATGCAGTCAGTAAAATCAAGAGAGCCATCGGATAGAGATCATTGTGTCCCAGGGCTTGGACAGAAACGAAGTTTTGGAAGTGCAGAAAATACAACTGGGAAAAGGAAGTGTTGGTAAGTAATTCAGTTCTGTTTTCTTCCTCCCTCGGAGATCTCTTATTTAGTACAGAATTTATTCTTTCATTTAAATATTGGCAGCCTAATTTCTAGTGTATCTTTTTATTTTCATTAACACATTTTAATACTGGTTTTAGTAACTGCTGCTAGATTCTAGAGGTCAGAAATTGTCCTGCATGATGGAAGGCTGGGGAGAAAACCTTTCTAAAGAAGTTTTTAATGTCACTGTGTTTTTTAACAACAGATTCATGCTGGTTCTGAAAAGGTTTGAAGAAAGCCTTCGCTCCGTGCAGGTCTATTGCTCAGCTACAAGCAATGGCTTTTGGCTCACCAGGTGTATCAAAACTCCTTCTAAGAAGGAGGAGAACTTTCTTCTAAGTGAAGATAGCATTTAAAAACACATGTTTTTACATGCTTATAATATTTTGGTTGTGCATGCTCTGTCTGTTAAATTATTAAAGAATGTTTAAAGAATAAACTGTTTTCTTTGTGTACGACTTGTGGAAAAAAATTATAGTTTAATCCATCAACCTACACCCAGGATTTAAAGTTTGTCTTTATTAACAAATTTATAACACAACTTTACTACAGTCTGAGTTCAAGATATTTTAGAAAACATTTGGTCGCTGAGGAAGACATAAATTATAGTAAGCGTCCTTGTTCCAGAAGTCTGGGCCCTTCCATCCACACCAGCCCTAGATTTGGGAGAAGCGAAAGGAAAATCTTTTACAAAATTATAGGACTACATGATCAAAACTGTAACATTTTAAAAGCCTGTTCTGTCCGCTGGATCCTGTAATAAGACTACCTGTATAAGTCAGAGATCTGAACTCCTGGGAAGCATGGACATTAACAGACTTGGGTCCATTTCAGGTAGAGTTGAACAAAATTTTAACTCTATGGTACTTAATCCTAGAAATTATTTTTAAACATTCCTTATGGTAACTGTTACTCCAAATACCACATTTTTCTTCATTTTACGATGTACAATTCTGGCAGTCGAGGGCAGGTGATAGTTGAACTGGCAGTCTGTTTTTCTTAGTTCTCCACTAAAGACGGTCTCGGGACCATGCCGTGCATCTTAGCTATGAGGAAATGTGTGTGGCAGGGAGAAATCTGTGCTGGCTTCTTGAGATGCCCTTCACTGTCTTTGGGCCATAATCATGCCACTCTCCATTCTTCATATCACTATTAATCCTTTCTCCCAGCAGAGAAAATTACGTTCAAACAAAATCTCATTGTAAATACAAAAGCGTATCAAATTTCTTTCAGGGCCATTGGTTTCTTTTCTTTTTTTAAACTTTTTAAATGTTTATTTATTTTTTTTAGAGAGAGACAGAGCACAAGCTAGGGAAGGCCAGAGAGAGAGAGGGAGACACAGACTCTGAAACAGGGTCCAGGCTCTGAGCTGTCAGCATAGAGCCTGACACGGGGCCCAAACTCACAAACCGTGAGATCATGACCTGAGCCAAAGTCGGACACTTAACTGCCTGAGCCACCCATGTGCCCCTGGTTTATTTTCTTAAAGACTCAGCTAATGACTAGTCTGAGTTATATCATTCTGAAATGAAATGCTTTGCTTGCAAAGGAGGCCAGCTAGGACTCTTAAAATAAATACCAGTGGGTGAGTGACAGTTACCCTAAGTAACTAGGAAGCTGCAGGGCATTCAGTCAGGGACCTAGAGTTCAAGTGCATGCTTTCTACAGAAGATAGTGTGTTAGCTCTATTTTTTAGTGTGGAGGTTGGAGGGTTCGGTAGACATGTTCTTTAATCTGATTTCAAATGCAAGTAAAAAAACAAAAAATCCTCCATCAGTCGTGTTCCCCTGCCCCCAGGTAACTGCTAATTTATCTTTGAGATCTGTTTGTTTTTATACATAAATCAGCTTTTTATTATCTCTTTTAGCAAACTTTTTTCTCATAAATTTAATGTTCTAACATCTGTTTTCTTGATGAACAGAAAAAAAGGCTTATATGATCTGTTTTAATCTTTGGGGGCTTTTTCAGGTAACCAGACTCAAATATTTAAAAAAGAAGTGGGTAGAGAGGGTGCCCAAACCAGCAACTGATGGCAGTAGATAGGGGAGCCTGCTCCTTCCTTTTGAGGCGAGTGGTCTGGGAACTTCAAACAGGGAAGTTCCACAAAGGGGTAAAGAGAGGTCAGGCGGAGACAGAACTCTCCCTGTAGCTCCCCCTACAGACTGAAAGTTGGTGTCCTCCCCAAATTCATGTGAAACCTAATCCCTAAGGTGATGGTAGCTAGAAGGGGGCCTTTGGGAGGGGACTAGGTTATGAGGGCGGAGCCCTCATGGATGGCATCAGTGCCCTCATTAAGGAGGCTGCTGAAACGTCCCTCATCCATTCTACCACGTGGAAAACCCTGAAAAAGACTGCTCTCTGTGAACTAGTAAGTGGCGCTCACCAGACCAGACATGCCGGTGCCTTGGATTTCTCTGCCTCCAGAATTGTAAGGCCACCCAGGCTATGGTGTTCTGTCATAGCAGCCTGAACAGACTATAAAACAGTGCCCTAGATTGTTGAGTTAAGTGAGAGTCAGTAGTTCCACCGATGGCCAGGCCTTGGCTTCACAGCTCCTTCTGTGTGCCAATACGGCAAAGGGTTTTTTACAGAATCTATGGAAATATAACTTGCAAAGGACAGCACAGTCCTTAGAGACAGTAATCAGGAACAATGCCTTACTGGATCTATCCAGATGCTTCAGAAAACCCTATCTGGACAACTCCATCTAGTGCAAAGTTCCTCATGCCAGCCAGAAAGAAGTAATTTTATCTGTATCACACCTCTAATTAAAATAAGGTTTCTCGGGGCGCCTGGGTGGCGCAGTCGGTTAAGCGTCCAACTTCAGCCAGGTCACGATCTCGCGGTCCGTGAGTTCGAGCCCCGCGTCAGGCTCTGGGCTGATGGCTCGGAGCCTGGAGCCTGCTTCCGATTCTGTGTCTCCCTCTCTCTCTGCCCCTCCCCCGTTCATGCTCTGTCTCTGTCCCAAAAATAAAATAAACTTAAAAAAAAATAAAATAAAATAAAATAAAATAAGGTTTCTCATTGCCTAGAAGATAAAATCTAAATGCTTGGTTTCTCGCAGGGCTCACAATGACTATCCCGCCAGCCACGCCCCTTCACCAGCTCTACTCAGGTTCAAACTACTGTAGTTCGGGAACATGCCCTGCTTTCCTTTCACTGTGTCTAAGGGAGCCCTCTACAGGATCTACAACTCTACAGGAGTTCCAGCTCCCTCTTAGGTAACCATATTCTTTCTGGGGAATCCTTTTTGGATCTCCTTTGTCCTTGTAGCTAGACTAAGAGCTCTTTAAAGACCTTCTTTAATACCCCTATTGCTTTGGACAGTGGATGGCACATATTAGGTAGGTACTTCATGCTGAATGAGTAAACAGTTTGAAAGAGTAAATACTGCTTCCATTTGCATGTACCGGCCCAAAACATTCCATACATAGATTTAAAACTCCAAATGTCTTGAAAGAGAAAAGCAGAATGCACTTATACCCTGTCAGTATTTAGATAGTCTTAGCATTAGCAAAAGACTTTACTAGTCTGAAATATAAATGAGTTCAGCCACACACAATGAAGCTCTTTACATACTAAAACCCCTTATCCTCAGGGCTTTAGTAACCTCATGCAGTTATGTTCTTTTCAACTTCTGAAAGTGTATCCCCAATCAATTTCAATGTTAAACTACCCAATTCTCCAGGAATTCTGCTTTAAAAAAATGACCTGGACAGAGTTAAGAAGGCAGAGTATTATGGGGACCCTGACCTTGTCTTATCCCTGAAATGCAGCTGGATCAGCATCAAACCATTTTGAAAACCTAGGACATTGATGTGAGGATTAATGCAACAATCTGCATAATTTGAGCCAGGTAGCTTGGCAGGTAGATGATGCGGAGAGATGTGGGGGAGAGAAAAGCAGTGGAGCCATGGAGGGTAAGGAGCTGTTTCCATGGAGAGAGGACAGGGAGAAAGGGGAGAGTGCAGTGTACTGGGACTGCGCAAGAAAAACACTTCCCCTGAAAGTAGCTAGAAAGAGAAAGAGTGAAAACACTTGCAGGGGAATGGACGAGAAATCAGTTCCCCAAAACCATTGAGAGAGAGAAAGGAGTGGGTTTCAATTCCACTAGGATTCTATAAACAGTGGAGCGCACAGTCTGAAGTTTCAGAGCTCATGCCTGGCAGGCAGACAACTTAGACACAGAGTAAAGGCAGGAGCCTGAAACAAAGGAGGGGTGCTTGATCACGTGTGTGAGGGCACAAAATCCCCACACCAGGGACTAGAGACCTGGGTGAAACCATTTTCACCTCAAGCACACATGTGCGCACACAGGGATAGACCCCAGTGAGCTAATCAGCGTTGACAACTGAGCCATTGCCAGAAGTCCTGCCCACCTGCATCCTCGAGGCACATCCTGGAGAAGACCAGGACAAATCCCTTCCACCTGTTTAAGGACTATAGTGTGATGCAAAGTTTCAGTTTCAGGGGAAACTGGATGTAACTTCATTCAGGCTGCATTCTGCTTGCTTGTTTGTTTGTTTGTTTGTTTTTGCTTCTGTTGTTTTCTTTTTCTTTCTTGGATACAGAAAGAGATCAAATTTTTTAATTTTTAATTTTATTTATTTTCCTTATTTTATTCTATTATTTAAAAATTTGCCAGTGGGGGGCGCCTGAGTGGCTCAGTCAATTAAGCATCCGACTTCGGCTCAGGTCAAGATCGAGAGGGAGGAATGTACACCAAAATAAAAAACAGGAAGAAATCATGGCCAGGGATTTAATCAACACAGATACGGTAAGATGTCTGAACTAAAATTTAAAACCACAATTATAAGAATACTAGCTGGTGTTGAAAAAAGTATGGAAGACAATAGAGAATCCCTTTCTGCAGAGGTAAAAGAACTAAAACCTAGTCAGGCAGAAATTAAAAATTCTATAACTGAGATGCAATCTTGAATGGATGCCATGACGGCAAGGATGGACCAATCAAAGCAGCAAATCAGTGATACAGAAGATAAAATGTCGATACTACCCATTGCAGTCTATACATTCAATGGAACCCCTATCAAAATAACGCCAATATTCTTCCCAGAGCTAGAACAGACAATTCTAAAAATTTATATGGAACCAGAAACGACCCTGAATAGCCCAAGTAATGTTGAAAAAGAAAACCAAAGCTGCAGGCATCACGATTCCAGACTTCAAGCTGTATTACAAAGCTATAATCATCAAGACAATATGGTACTGGCACAAAAACAGACAGATAGATCAAGGGAACAGAATACAGAACCCAGAAATGGACCCACAAATGTAAGGCCAACTAATCTCTAACAAAGCAGGAAAGAATATCCAATGAAAAAAAGGCAGTCTCTTCAGCAAATGGTGTTGGGAAAACTGGACAGCGACATGCAGAAGCATGAACCTGGAGCAAACTCAAAATGGATGAAAGACCTAAATGTAACACACGAAACCTTTAAAATCCTATAGGAGAAAACAAGCAACAACCTCTCTGACCTTGGCCACAGTAACTTCTTACTAGACATGTCTCCAGAGGCAAAGGAAACAAAAGCAAAAATGAACTATTGGGACATCATCAAGATAAAAAACTGCACAGCGAAGGAAAAAGTCAACAACACTAAAAGGCAACCGACAGAATGGGAGAAGATATTTGCAAATGACAAATCAGATAAAGGGTTAGTATCCAAAATCTATAAAGAATTTACTAACTCAACACCCAAAAACCAAATAATCCAGTGAAGAAATGAGCAAAAGAACAGACATATTTCCAAAGAAGACATCCAGATGACTAACAGACATGAAAAAGATGCTCAACATCACTCATCATCAGGGAAATACAAATCAAAACCACAATGAGATTACCACCTGACGCCTGTCAGGATGGCTAACATTAACAACTCAGGCAACAACACATGTTGGCGAGGATGTGGAGAAAGAGGATCTCCTTGGCATCGTTTTTGGTAATGCAAGCTGGTGCACCCACTCTGGAAAACAGTATGGAGGTTCCTCAAAAACTAAAAATAGAACTACCCTATGACCCAGCAGTTGTACTACTGGGAATTTATCCAAGGGATACAGGTGTGCTGTTTCAAAGGGGCATGTGCACCCCAATGTTTATAGCAGCACTATCAACAATAGTCAAAGTATGGAAAGAGCCCAAATGTCCATCAGCTGATGAATGGCTAAAGAAGATGAGGTATATATACACAATGGAATATTACTTGGCAATCAAAAAGAATGGAATCTTGCCATTTGCAACAACATGGATGGAACTAGAGTGTATTATCCTAAGCTAAATAAATCAGAGAAAGACAAATATCACCTGATTTCACTCCTATGTGGAATTTAAGAAACACAACAGATGAACACAGGGGAAACGAAGGAAAAATAAGATAAAAACAGAGAGGGAAGCAAACCATGGGATACTTTTTTTTTTTTTTTAAATAGAATTTACTGTAAAGGTAGCTAACCTAGTATATACAGTGTGCTCTTGGCTTCGGGAGTAGATTTCCATGATTCATTGCTTACATACAACAACAAGTGCTCATCCCAACAAGTTCCCTCCTCAATGCCCACCATCCATTTTCCCCTCCTCCCATCAACCCTCAGTTTGTTCTCTGTATTTAACAACCATAAGAGACTCTTAAATACAGAGAACAAACTGAGGGTTGCTGGAGGGGTGTTGTGTGGGGGATGGGCTAAATGGGCAAGGGGCATTAGGACACGTGTGATGATACGTAAGCGATGAATCACCAAATTCTATTCCTGAAATCATTATTACACTTATGTTAACTAACTTGGATTAAATAAAATAAAAAAATATATATATAAAAAAGTAAAATATAAAATTCTAGAGTTTATTTTTAGTATTATTCTTTTTTTTTTTAAGTGTATTTACTTATTTTGAGAAGGTGAGCAAACAGGGCAGGCAGGAAGAAAGGGAGAGAGAATCCCAAGCAGGCTATCACTGTCACTGTGGAGCCCGATGAGGTGTTCGATCTCATGAACTGTGAGATCATGACCTGAGCTGATATTGGACGCTTAAGCGATCAAGGCTCCCCTAGAGTTTTTAAATGTAGAACTTAAGATATTATTTATAACTCCTAATTAAAGCTTTTTACATAAGAAAATGATCTAATTAAATTATAAATTCACAGTTCAGAGAAAGCTTTTCATTCATGTTGATGTTGACTTAGTGACAACATGATAAAAATAAAAGGCAGTAACAGTATGATATATTCATTGGCTTATGGCTGGAAAGGTTGTATGCATTTTTTGTAATTTTAACATATTTGGCAAAGAATATAGTAGTTAAAATTCAAGTTAATTATGTCTTATACTTGCCTTCTAAAGTTTTAGTATGAGTTTTCATATGTGTAAATTTGTTGCCTATAAATTAAATTTATCCCTCCTTTAACTGATATTGTAAGTATCAATGACTACTCTGGAATTTTGTCTCAAATTCAAATCTTTTATAGAATGAGATTAAGTTATATGTAAATAAATTAAAAGTAGTCAAGCCTCCATACCGTTTAGTTTATTTTTGGTTACTAATACAATTATAAAGGTTATTTAATCTACCCTCCTATTTCAATACATTTGTTTATGCAAAGTTGTAACATCTCCAAAGGAATATAATGATGAGCTGTGTGTTCCATTATTAAGTTAATAATTAAGAAAGTATTTATAAATCTAAAGTTTTTTCTTTGCAATTCACTTTAGTTTCCTCTTGTTCTCCCTACCTAGAAACATACTCCTTATAGCCCCAGAATACCTCCTTATAGTGTGGATCACTGCCCTCGGTTTAGAGTTCTTCTGTTAACAGCCAGTTTGCTATCTTTTGGTTCCAGGTTCTTTGCCTTGTATCTTCATTTCTATTAAACAGATACTTACCTTTTCCAAAATAACTTGCAGATCTTCAGCGCCTGTATAATGTGGATCTAAAATTAGAAATTTTATCTGCCCGGTAATTTCGTTCCACGCCACTCCTAGTATTGTGTGGGCCAAAACTCCTCCCCCTATAACAGAGGAAATGTGAACTGTGAGAGGGCATGTATGAATCTCAACTTGCTACTCAATTGCAATTTAAAAGCACTATCTTGCCTATTAATTGATCTAATATCGCATTAGAATGGACTAGCCTATATTATAAAAGACCACAGATGATGTCAAATACACTGAGGAGATAAAATTATATCTTTAAAGACAAAAAAGATACAATCATATTTATAACCATATAAGGTTTATATTCCACTGCCATATCCATGGCATTACTGATACTGGATTTACGAAGGGCTATGCAGGGTCTAAACTCCTCCCAAGAGAACAAGTCTTGTTCCTCATAGAATCATCAATCTTTAGATCGACTAATCTGATCCTTTTGACAAATACAGCCCAGTGAGGTGAAGCAATCTG